ATCGATCGATGATGATTTCCATATTAAAAATCCAGGCTGACTCCTGTCGAAGCCTTGATGATCATGACTATAGCCTTAAAGTCTCTCAATATATATGTTAGGTTGGAAATAAGTCGGGATATTGCTTCATATAATCATTCATACTAATCATGCATATATGTATTAAAGCACAAAATGTAAATTAAGAATTTTCATTGGAAAGTTCACTCCAATATTATTATGTATGTATAAAATAGGCCGTGTGTGCAATATTTAGTACACCAAAAAAATTTAATTTGAAAATAATTACTTCCGGAGAATTATATAAACAATTGAAATATTCAAGCGAATTAGTACGTTGTTCATACATTTTTGGCCCAAAAAAACCGAACTTTTTATGTTAATTTGATGATAAAATTAACAAATTACAAGTAGATATTATTAAGCATTTTACGCGCATGTGATAATGCCTGACAAGTCGTTCTCTCCGATAAAAAAAAAAATGCCGTTTTGAAGGAGACACTATTGCACAAATGTTTCCTTTAAAGTACGATGAAGTCTCTCTACAAATATATGATCCCTCTAAAAAGGGACGTATATATATAAAGAGAGACGTGCAATATTAGAGATCACTCATGACTACTAGTACTACGTACGAGGATTTTGACCATTTCTCTTTTGGGGGAGAAAAAAAAAAAAAAAAAAAAAAAAAAAAAAGAAAGGGAAAATATTTTCAACGACCGACTCTAATGCATGTGGGTAAAAAACAAGGCAACATGTTGGTCTTTGTTTGTTGTGGGCAGTGGGACCCGCATACTGTGTCGATATGTCCTAAAGTTGGGGTCTCATGGTCCCTCGCCATGTCTCCTCATGAAATTGCCAATGAGCCTATGAGGCGTCGCCAAGTATATATGTATCGTGTTTTAAGGGCATAGTTAATATATATTTATTACGTACTGTTTTCTTCTTGGATTTTTGTTAGATACGTGGGGAAAAGTTTATTTATAAGTGTATGAGTAAGATTTTTATTTTTTATTCTTAATTTATAATTTTTTTAGTTAAATAATTATACTAATAAAAAATATTTATAAAAAATAATGAATAAAAGTCTAGATTAATACATTTTTAAAAATAAATTCTCATTTTTTTTTAGATATATATAGATATAGGGAGTATATGCATGCATATTGGTCGTTTCACTTGTAATCAGCCGCATATATATTACCCCCAGGAAAAAAAAGCCATATTTATTACCCGTGCATTATATTTGTATATGGCCACCATTATCAAGATTTTCCTTCTGGAGTTTATATATACGTGTGTGTGTATAACATAACACACGTCACGCGCTCTCTCAAAAAATTGATCGACACGTTGGCCATTTGGAGTTGGTTGTGTTTTTATTTTTCACGTTTTTCTAAAAAATAAATAAAAACAAGAGATAAACGGTATTTGGCACAATTAAAAATAAAAACAGAAATAAAAATGATTTTTTAATTTAGTGTAAAATAAAAGAGAAATAAAAAAAAAATTTTTAATCGTTTTTCATTTTTTGTTTCTATTTTCTCCTCTCTCGAGAACAGAGAGAGATAAAGACATTAATAATTTTTTTTATACTGAAAATAATATCTTAATAAAACTACCAAATGTATTTTCAAAAATGATTTCTATATGAGATTGAAAACATTTTCATTTTCATTTCTATACAAAAAATAAAATTATTTTAAAATGAATTATAAACGCACCGTTGTTTATCATTTCTTGTGCTTAAACGGTTAATTAATTGGTGTTGGTTATATAACTAGTTTCTTTCCTTGTTTAATTTGTTACAGGAGTTCCTCCAAATACACATGTAGAAAAGCAAGAAAACACTAAGGTCTCGTTCACTTTGTAGATTTGAGTTTTTAATTTAAATTGAGATGTGACATTTTTTGAGAGTTTTTTACTGTAGCAGAAAATTTTAATGTGACATTTTTTGAAAATTTTTTATTGTAGAAACCTAAAACTAAAAACTCGAATCGGTAAAATGAAACCTAAATAAGCAAATTAACGCATTACTCTAAACTCTCTCTCAAATGCACCATTTATTCATCGTGAGTCCAAGGACAGCAAGGCTATATATAGCTAGCTAGCTAATTACGTGGGGGGGAGAGAGAGAGAGAGAGAGAGAGGTGTAATTTTTCCGGTTGGGGTTATAGATGGTGGTGTTCTTTTTGTAAAAGGGTGTGAGATATTGCGTGGCTTTTGCCCTAGAAAGAGACAAGTCGTTTGTTCCCCGCAAACAATTTCGTCCTTTCTGCTCATGAAATTTGCCTCATGTGTTTATAAGTTACATTGTTCGATTACCATGATACTATATATAAATATGCATGCTTTTATATATAAGAAAAAATAATAATACCGTATTATATATATATATATATTCTGACAAACACGGAATATCTTTCCTCTCCACATTTAACTTGTTTCTAATTGGTTGGCCTAACTTCTAAATAACTTAGAAACTATTTGTGTGTGAGTTTGGGGTTAATTCGCCAGACTTTTCTGTATATCAGTATTTATATATATATATATATATATATATATATATATAGAAGGACACTCATATA